AGGAGGTTATTTTGTTTTTCAATTTCTCATATGCTGAAGTTGCGGCAGCAGCTCCTTCTTCCATGGTTGAAGTCATCGGTGAGGATGAGGGAGACGATGATGGAGATCCCGATGGTGAATCTGATGACATTGAGGAAAATGACATTGAGGAAGGTGAACCGGAGAATACTTGACACTCTGTCATGGTTAAGAGTAGAGAAGACACCAAAAGAATAACGATGAACCTTTTAGACTCCATCTTTTATTTTATTTTTGTTATATTTCTAAGACTTTTTTCCTTTTTGCTATAGTCTTGAATAATGTTGGGGAAATCTATGAGAATGTTTAGCATTATATATAGATGATAGGCTTATTGGCAATTGATGATCATGAGAGAAGATAGGTTTTATGAGGCCAAAGTTTTTCCAATAGCGAAATAGGTTTCACTTTTTGCGGTGAAAATCAGTTAATTAGTTGAGCATGTATGCATTGACCATATGTAGTTTTAGCATGTTTTAGTATTACTAAAATTCTTAACCACATATACATACTAGTTTCGTTCATTATAATTATTTTAATTTCAACTTCATGACTAACTTCAAGGACTCAGGGTTGGTTGAATACTTAAATTGGGTCATTCGTGCAGATGAATTGGTTGGAGTTTGGGCATGTATTGAATCACTAATTGTGTTTGAGGCGGATTTGGAATTGAGTAGGGGTGAGGAAGAGGTCATTGCCATTTGACACTCGGGTTTTGCAGTGGCAATGGGAGTGTGATGGACATGGACGTTGGGCTAGGCCGGTTTTATGGTCACTCATGGGAAGCACAACACATATTCAAAATATTCAAATGATTTGGTGCACAACACAAAATTTTACGGTACATATCTTTTGAGGGATGTTTTGGTGCATTCCTGATTTGGCAGCATGTGATTGGTAGTTTAAACCATGTCATTTGTTTTAATTAAAAATAAGTGAATTGAATAGAAGTCCTTCCCCAATCTTCAACCTTATCGTTTTAGGTTGAGAGAATAATCCCTTGTGACTTGTCGCTGAAAGAAGGCCGCAGAGAGACGCTCTGGAGGCGAAGAAACCATAGAAAGCGCCGGAGGAGCGAAATTCCGGCATCTCAATCCAAGGTAGGTGTCACCATCTCCAATTTTTTGTTGTGCCCATTCAATTTCTCTGTCTGGAAGGTTAAAATTATTTCCTTCATTATCATCCATCTCCTCTTCCATTAAGTTTTCCAATTTGTCTTTGAAAAGTACCATCGAATCAGGATTTTGCTTTCGCTTTCAGCTGCCTGATCTATCGACGGAAGCAAAATTTTCATCTGCTTTAAATTTTATACAAATTTTTGTATGTAGTTTGTGTGTACTTGTGTTTAGAAATACATTTAGGATTTGGCATTGATGCGTGCCGCACCTATCGTGCATGAATGTGTGGATCTGATATCAACTATCACCTATTTTGTACGTTGTTTTTCTTTACAGTTCAGGTTATGAACAATGATTTAGATCATTAGATGTATAAACATGGAAATGTGATTCGTTTTGCTAGTTTGGGCAAATATTATTTTTTGGGTAAATCGTGGTTTATATATGTACACCCTATCATGATCTTCTTCATTCTTCAAAAGAAAGAGGTGATTGCGTTTAGCTTATACGTTGTATATTTCTATGGAATTTATAAAATTTAGAAATAGCTTGGAGTTAGAATAGCTGAACTTGATACAATAGGGTTGGGTGACTTGGAAATGTTAAGCCAGAGTTTCTATAATTCTTTGGAAGGGGGCATTGTTAGAAAGGTAGAATCAGGGTCTCCTGCTTCTCATGTTGGACTTCACACCGAGGATGTCATATTTCAGTTTGATGGGAAGCCTCTTAGGAGTTCTGTGGAGTTTACGTGTATGCTATTAGATAAAAAGGCCAAGGATTCTGTAGAATTGATTGTGAGTAGAGCAATGGACCTCACAGTCTCACACGCACACATTCCCTACTTAAAGCCCCAAAAAGTTGAACCGATGGCCAGTACCTAAGGAATGGTCCGTTCGCGTACCTGATGATACATGTCTTATCCACCATTATTTAGTTATTTATCTATCTTTAGTTACTATAATTGCCACTTTTATGGGCCACTTTTTAATTATTATTTTATCAAATTACTACTATTGCTTTTGTCAACCCCTACTAATACTTGCTGATGAGCCCGAGGCATCTAAGTTATAAAAAACGTCTCTTAAAGGACCCATAATTGAATACATTTGTAACAACTGACAAGCTTATAGCATGTCATAGTTTTATATCAATATGCTCCAGGTAGAAAGTGTTGAAATCGATATCATATCTTCCTCTGCAATAGACCTATATTTCTACCGTAGACTTGGCCTACCCTTTTGCACACTCAGATTTGACTTTTTATACAGTTACATCTACAATTCATATGTGTATCTTGTATTCATATGCATATCTTCCCTGTCATAGATGGACATAATGTATCATGTATGATATTTCCTACTGTTTATATGCAATAAGAGAACATTATAGTCACTGTGTGTTCTGATAAGTAAAATGAGGGGATGTTTTTTTGTCAAAAAGGGACTAAATCAATTGATTGTGCATCCATTAAACAGTAAACTTAAATGGCTCATTATTCTATGCTATTATGCCTCCTCCCCAACAACTAAATAAGTACTTATAAAATGATTTGTTTATGGGAAAGTTTATAATATGATGAAATGCGCATATTCTTATATGTGATTTATTCATTCATTAATTCATAAAACTACAATTACCTAGTGTTATTCCTTTTTTGAGGGCTGAATGATTTACTTAAAATAATTTTTAACACAAGACGATACTCCTATATGTGCACATGACTTGTGTTTTACTCCTATTTAAGTCAATTTTATTTATCAATTTTAGGATATCCACAAAGGCGTGTCAAAGCTGCAACCTAAGGTGACTGCTAAAGTAGTTACTCTAACAGAAGGCTTCAAATCAATGCACACATAGAACTTTGGGACCAACTAGGTGGAGCATACCGTTGTCATGCTTAGCCCAGGATTACACATACACTCGTGTATTTGAAGGGAAATGTCAACCTCACTTGAACCAGTACTACATAAAGAAGTGATATGGACTTATGGAGTATCTTTTAAGTTGGAGAAGTGTAGTTGGAAAAATAGAACTGGTGATGGCATGTTGTGCGGTGAGTTTGATACTGAGCTGTAGAAAGCATTGAGCTTTTCTAATAGCATGTCTCCGCTACAGGGAAAAGTCTCATATGTTGAGTCGAGCAATCGACACTTGTGACTTGCTCTAATAATGTGACAACTGTAAGAGCATAGAACTTTACAAAACATGTAGCGTTGTGCTAGATCGGCTTTGTGTAGCTATAATATATCATTTCCCATGACACATGATGAAGCTATTTTCAGGCAGACACACGACTCATTTGGCAGCAAACTTGCCAGTGTTGATGATGATTAGACCTTCCTCAGAAATGTTGTTCAATCTGAAGACTTGATAAATCAGTTATCCAGTTGTATAATTATATCATTCAAGATTTGAAGTGCCTTTAACATTAATGGTAGAGCATAGAGAGGTTCAACCTTACCAGAATGGAGGTTTAAAGTTATTGCTGATAAAACAAGGTGGTGGTGATAGTGAAATCAGGAGAAAAAAGTTGTTTGTCAAGGAATCTTATTATGTTATTATCGGGATAAAATAAATGTAGTCATATTTCATGATTCTTAGATATTCTTTTCCATCGTTATGTTATTTGTATGGTTGTATGCTTCACATTTACCATCCAATGTGTCCAAGTAAAATATTTGATGCTTTATTCCTTTGCACAGCTCATATAGGTTATTTTAGAATCTTGACATTATAGAGTTGTAGTTGGTTGGTTTCAAATTCAGTTATCATTGCACAGGGGCTAGGGCAATGGTTGTAAACTTGTAATTACAAACGGGGTTTGTACTGAAATAATACTAAACTAAATGGTATGGACAAAAATGAGACTACTTTAAAAAGTTCCAAAAATAAGACTAAGATGACTTTTATACCCTGAACCAGCGACCATGACCAAAACGTCCCAGTGACCAACCAGGACCAAAACGTCCCGGTGACCAACCATGACCAAAACGTCCCAGTGACCAACCAGGACCAAAACGTCCCAGTGACCAAACACTCCAGTGAGTCAGTGACCTACCGTCTCAAGTGACAGTTACTCCACCGCTGTCGAGGACAATTACTCTACCTCTGCTTCCGGTGAACCCCACCAGTGACATTCGTTAGCCGGTCAGTACCCTAGCCATCGCCGCTTCCCCAGCCCCAACCCTAGTTGACACCATTCTAAATCTAGATCTGATTCGTTGCTTGACATCAGTCACTATTCGTTAATGTAGTCTATAAGCGTCTGCCGCCTCCCTCTGATGGAGATTACACCATCGGCGATGGAGATTACAACATCGGCGATGGAGAAAATCGAGGAGCAGAAAAGAAGATCGAGGACGAAGAATAGCCGATTGGTTGTTGCCGCTGTTGCTGGTCACCTTCGCCGATATGGAGTCACCTCCTCCGGTGTGAATCGCTGGCGTCTGCTGTCACACGGTCGCACCCGTGGAGTTAGGTGCTCCTCACCAGACGCGAAGAAGCCCTCTCCTGAACGAAGAATAAAGCTCACGCAAGAAAGAATGTCGATGGGGGCAGAATACTGTAATGATATGGGCACTTTGATCTTTTCATTTAAATTTTGTCATATATCCGTCCAAAATGAAAACTGCTCCTATTTTTGTCCCACGAGAAGCTAGGAGTTCTACTTCGGTCATTATTTCATTACAAATTATCATCCATTTCCTAATCCGAAAACTCATCTTCATAATTGACATTCTTTGTAACTCTTGGCAAACTTCGAAGTCTGGTTGCATTTGTCTTGTTTCAATTTCGTGTTTCAGCAAGTTCATCCATGTATATCCAGTATCCAAAGTGCATTTCTTGAATCGGATCATTTTTAGATTGTCAAGTGAAATATATACTTCTTATTATCAACCATCAAGGGTGAGTGCGTGAAACTAATTAAAAATCTCCCAGAGGTAATTAACTTACATGCAACATATCTACTTGTAAAATACCAAAATGAACTCGATTAAATCGCAAGGAGTGATCCATTTAAAAAAAAACTCAAAACTGAGAAAACAAGTTTAGTAAACCAAATCAAATAAAAAACACAAACTCAAACACTAAAAATCCACAATTTACTTGGAAGCTTACAGTGCAAGAGGACAAAATCAACAACAATTTCAAAAAGTAGAATTGGACCATCTTGAAATCAGTGGTGATATGCACTCTTGATGAACCAGACCAAAATTCCCGCATGATGATGTCCCTAGTATTTTGGTCCATGTTTACATGAGTTGCAGAAATTGTATGGTGACGGCCACACATTTTGTCAGTGTTAACAAGGATGACACTCTGGGTGATGGCCAATGTCTCATACAGATCGCAAAGTGTTTCAAGCTTCCAGTCCCCTTTGTCAACATTGACATCGAACTGTTTGATACCTTCTAGTGTGAGCTCATACCCTTTCACAATAATCGTGAGAGGCTTGTTCATGAACTTTCCGGTGATTTCAAGGGCATCTGGGGGCATAGTAGCAGAGAAAACACCAACCTGTATCTTTGGTGGTAACAGCTGGAAAATATCATAGATCTAAAAACAAAAACAAGCAACACAAACATTAGTTTCTATTGCCAATAGGACAAATGTTTTAACCAACAGTGTCAGCACACTTAAAATATGCATTTTGAATAATAATCACTATACATATTGGCATATTGCCAATACAATAATACTATGAACACAAAAACATGAAATAATAATATATAATAATATATAATAATATAAATAAAAGCGATGAATGAAAGAAATTAATTTTTTGTATTGTGAATTTGTGATTAAATCATGTACGGGTCAAATCACATCCGCCAAAAAAGGAAAAATGATCAAATAAGCCCTTCAACTATCATGAATCCATCACATAAGTCCATCTACTAATAAAAGCACCATTTATAACATTTACTTTATAAAAACAATCATTATGGTCACAGTTACCAGAATGCAACCTTTTTAGCTGGTTAACGCTCAGACAACACATTTACTTTTTTTTTATATTTTCATTCTTTTTCTTTTCTCTTTTCTTTTGTTCTTTCTTTGTACTCGTTGACTCATTGTCATTTCGTCCCAACAAATTTTTCCTTTCATCTTGTAACTCAATCTCTCCCTCAATATGTATATAAACTTTTCTTGTCCGGCTGTCCGGAGTCCGTCCAGAAGAAATAAGAATTGATTGTCCAATAGAATGAGCGGTTATGATAAAAACAAGCTAGAGTGGGTCTTAGATACTCTACGTCTTCTCTATTCTCATTCATAATACTCCATAATATGCAAGTCTAAACCCACACCTTAACCCAATACCATAGCAGCATTTAGCTAATCACACACATACAACTTTAAGGCAAGTAGTGATAGCATTAAAACATAATATAACCTAATAACTGTAATAGTAAAAACCACTAATAACTATAAAAGTAAAAACCTCTAAAGCAATAAACAGCAATACATGTGGGATGAAGACTACCATATGAACACTATATTGTCTTTTAATGGTCAATCTTTGTATTAGTTAAGCTTTTGAAAAACTGTTCAAGCACAGCAAATTAAAAATTAACTATTTTTAAATCGATCTATTCCTTGCTATTTTAGCTTAATTGAGGATGTCCGCGATCAGATAACTAAATTGTTTCGGGAAGCTTTTCCACAACTCCATAAGAAGTCAATGTTATATACTTTCATTAAGAAAATAGTATGATGCATCACACCAGCAACTGATCCTATTGTTTAACTTGAGGCCGTTGCATAAGCAAGCTTTAAAGTTTAAACTCAGCTATTCAGTATGACATATGTTAATATACATAAAAAAACTTATCACTTATACTTCATATTTTATATTTTATTAACATTTGAGTACCTTGATAGGCAATATTCATCATTTTCATTTACCCCGCTCCCACCTACAATGGGGTAAGGGGCTTGATAGGCAATATTCTTGGAGGAAATGTTGTCAAACTTTTAAAATAGCAGACATGTCATAAGAGATTCACAGTTTTCAAACATGTTTCAGTTTAAGTGAGAATTAGATTTTTCCTTTAAAATAGTTTGGATGTAAATTAGCTAGCCTGTAGCAGTAATTTATAGCAATCATACCAATATACGAAATATTCAAAAAGCTTGATTTCAAGTCAGCAAAATGCATTTGCAAGACTTTTCCAAGGATTTCACCCACTCCAAGCATCACAAACTTTCAATAGCAATTACCATCATAAAACTTTTGAAATAGCAGACAACTCATAATCAATTCATTCTTTTCAGACAAATATCAGTGTAACTGAGAATTAAATTTTGACATTAGAATAAACAGAAGCAATTAGGGTTTTTCGTTTAGTTTTATAGAACCTCAGAATAAAAAGGTTTAATCTTACCAGGTAGCAATTTTATTGATGTAGGAGTTGCTTGAATTGAACGAACACTTCTTCTCTTGGTCGTAAGCTGAATTCCGACTTAGAAAAATTCCAGAACCGTCCAAAAGATAGAGATGCTGCACTCGGCTTTGCCAAGCGATTATTGGGCGGAGGTGAATTCCCGACCGGATTTGTATGCGACCTGGTACAGGTAAAGAAAAATGAAACGATGGAGACCATTGGAATTTTCCGGAGCCGAGTCCTGACAAATGAAAAAGCCGTATCAGAATTTTCTATTGTACAGGCCTCTCTAATCAAATTTCTAAATTTTTAGATGAAATAACTTACGTGGAATGTCATCCAATTATGTTTTGACATATGTGGAATGTACGAAAACATTCTACAATGAGAATGCACCAGAGAGTCACCCTTAAAAGTATTGTAAAACAAATACTTCATCATTATTTTAAGGGGTGTCCTCAAGTAGGTTATTCATAAGATTTTACATGATTGAGATTTGATGGATTTATATGGAATTGTATAGAATATGTGAGATTCTAATCAAATTTGATGGAATTTGAAATCCACCTCCGATTCTCAGCATCCACCTTCGGTCCACCTCAGATTCTCACCACCACGAAGCCCCGACTTCTCCATCCTAAAGCTCAGCTACATTTGTTTGTTTTTTTTATTGTTTAGGGAATTGGAATTTGAGTTGGATTCACCCACATATCCACAAGCGACATTGAAAAGAACGCAACAACCATGGGATATGATCACAAATTAAAAGATAGAAGAATGATCTATAAGAAAGGGCTCTTTAGGAGGACAAACTCGACTCGAGAGACAGAGACATCGAAGGTGGATAGAGATAGCTGATTCAGAGTTGAAGATAGATATTAGAATGGCGGATTAGCCGAGCTATGCTTCTAACTTTTTTTGTTTTGCTTATGGGCGGGAAATCCATTCAAATGCGAAGGGAGTGCAAAGATTTTTAGCAGTATTCTACAAATCCTAACTGAGGACCCCCAAATTTCGATGGAATTCTAAATTTCTTTAAAAATCCGCGAGTCCATACCAAGACCACCCCTTAAAGTTTGCTACATTTTCCCTTTATGGATATATTTAAAAGTTTGCTATACTTTCTCTTTTTTGATAAGTTTTCCTTTAAAAAAACTTGATTTCCTTGACCTTTTGTATTTTTTTATCTTCCCTTTCATAATTTCTACATTCTCTCCTATTTTTTCTACAATATTAATTAGTCCTACTATTTCACCTTTAAATGGTATGGTCGCATTTTACCTTCTGTAGACTGTAGTACTCCATATATCACAAAGTATTTTTGAAAAGTCTACCAAAGCGTAGCCAATCCACACATCCAGCCATGCACTTTTGAGAAGGTGTATTATACATGATACATCATTCAAAATTTATTGATTCAGACCTTTGAGGATAAAATGTATCGAAATCATGTACTACGTATTAAACATGATTAATCAGGGGTTTGAAGGATAAAATGTATCGATATGTAAGCCTCAAACAATTCCACCTTTTTGCAGGGACGACGCCAGGGTCAACATTGTGGTGTTATTAATTGACACCACCTAGATAATTATGTGCACATGTATATACAAATATAAATTGAAATTTTAAAGAATGACACTATAGTTTTTAAAAATAAAGTCAATTTATAAGAAATGACATCACATATTTCCTCACATCTGCTTTCTCTATCTAACAAATTTTTTCAAGTTTGATTGAAACAAAAATCAATAACATAAATATTATTTTTCGGACAAATTTAATAGTTTTAGCATTCAAATGGTTATTTTACATACTCCTTGGTGATTTCAAAAGTTTCTAGATATATATTACTCTGTATTTGTTTAGTTGATGCATGCATACTATAAGTGAAATCAATATTGAATGATTAAGTAAGTGAAAACGAGAAACTGATAAATAATGTTGTAAATAATTCTCATAAAACTATAAAAGGCCCTATGTGTTAGTTAAAATATAAAACTACTTAGTTATTAATATGTTTATGTGTGTATATAACATTATTTTAATTTTTGACATCACTGATATTAATTATGGTCGATCTGGCTCAACCCGACCCCTATGGATAGGAAATCAAAGGGTTTCAGGCACACATGCACACTATATATTCCATTCAAGAGAAATACTCTAATTACACCTGAAGCTCAAATGAGATAGACTTCAAAACTGCACTAGTTGTATATATTGTTGATAATGTTGTTATTCTTACGATGACAAGAGCGACATTGCTCGTGTTTATTTACTAACTATATAAATATGTATCTAAAAAGAGCTTGTGACACCAAACCAAAAACATATAGATAGAAGCTGAAATGTCCTTGCACATTTCCACATTTCAATAGAAAAAGGTAAGAGAAAAAATTACTGCGGAGTTCTTTTAAATTGTTGGAATAAAAATTCAGGAGGTTATTTTGTTTTTCAATTTCTCATATGCTGAAGTTGCGGCAGCAGCTCCTTCTTCCATGGTTGAAGTCATCGGTGAGGATGAGGGAGACGATGATGGAGATCCCGATGGTGAATCTGATGACATTGAGGAAAATGACATTGAGGAAGGTGAACCGGAGAATACTTGACACTCTGTCATGGTTAAGAGTAGAGAAGACACCAAAAGAATAACGATGAACCTTTTAGACTCCATCTTTTATTTTATTTTTGTTATATTTCTAAGACTTTTTTCCTTTTTGTTATAGTCTTGAATAATGTTGGGGAAATCTATGAGAATGTTTAGCATTATATATAGATGATAGGCTTATTGGCAATTGATGATCATGAGAGAAGATAGGTTTTATGAGGCCAAAGTTTTTCCAATAGCGAAATAGGTTTCACTTTTTGTGGTGAAAATCAGTTAATTAGTTGAGCATGTATGCATTGACCATATGTAGTTTTAGCATGTTTTAGTATTACTAAAATTCTTAACCACATATACATACTAGTTTCGTTCATTATAATTATTTGAATTTCAACTTCATGACTAACTTAAATCATAGTCGGGTTGGAGTTTGAGAGTGACATGAACCGTCAAGGACTCAGGGTTGGTTGAATACTTAAATTGGGTCATTCGTGCAGATGAATTGGTTGGAGTTTGGGCATGTATTGAATCACTAATTGTGTTTGAGGCGGATTTGGAATTGAGTAGGGGTGAGGAAGATGGTCATTGCCATTTGACACTCGGGTTTTGCAGTGGCAATGGGAGTGTGATGGACATGGACGTTGGGCTAGGCCTGTTTTATGGTCACTCATGGGAAGCACAACACATATTCAAAATATTCAAATGATGACTCATTTGAAAAGGACAATGATATAATATTTCAAATATTCTGAAAATTGATCTTAAGATGGAGTTGGGTGTGTTTCAAGTTACATTATGTGAGATATTATCAAATTCCATCCCAATTAAGCTGACGTCCCACTAATTAATTGGTGTAATCCAGACTTTGTTAGGGTATCTCAACCATCTCCAATGGAGAGTGATTCCATCTCATCAAATGCACTTTTGAAATGGAAATGTCATCTTTGATACAAAATAATATAGACCAAATCTAGTTGACTTGGAAGTGGGAAAAATGAATAAGAGCATTAGAAAACATCGAGACTCGAGAGCATAGGAGAACCTACAAGTTATATCAATCAAATCACATTGAAGAGTTTAACTTTGTGCCTGAAAAAATATTGCTACAATGGCTAAAATATATGATCAAGACTATAGTATCAGTTGAATGACATTTATGTAATACAGTAATAAAGATAAACGAGACAATAATAATATTAGAAGTAAAAATAAAGAATCATATTTGTTGGGGTATTTGGGCTTGCCCCGTGGTAGGCATTATATCCCAACAATAATAATTTTAGAAATGTATAGTAATAACAAAAAAGTATATGGGTGATAAATATTTAAAATGTGGCACATTGTTCGATTTGCTCTAATCTGAATATTTTGATCATATTTGATCGACATGATATGATTTCAATTTTTTAAATCACATTAGTCTCTTAATATGAACAAAATAATGACTTATAATATAATAATGGATGGCCAAAGAAAGAATTCATTAGAAAGTGTTCACTCATCCTATATAATATAATGTGTTATATTATTATCTTCGTCTCACTAACATTGAGACATGAGAGGATAATGCAGTTATTGATGAGTTTATGTGGTTGATATTGAAATATTGAATTGATACAATATGAATAAAGTAAGAGTTACGTTATTATTTAGAATCACACAAAACTTACAAATTTGGTATGAGACATATCTAATAAGATTGACCATAAAGGAAAAAATGAAACAATCATAACAGGACGGAGAATGCTCCATTATCGTTTCACTTCTTTTTCTGAAATCTGAAATGTTCTCAAGTATTAGTTTTACTTTCTGTTTTGAAAGCAACCACTTTAAAAGTGTAACTACTTAAGAACAAACATTTTTTGAAGTCAATTACTAGTATAACATTGTCTAAAATTATATTATGACATAAACCGTGGGTCCGGTATTCGTTTATGATAGTTCCACCCGACAAAATTCAAGTCAATTAAAATGATTGGCAAATTAAAATTATTGAAATTAATTGTAACTTCTTCCGCCCCTAACTTTGTCGCATTTTATCTTTTTCGTTCGTCCCATAAATTTGTCTTGCACCATATTTAGTAATTTTTGAATAGTTACAAGTCATTCTTACTCTTGTCACACTTTATTAATTCAATACCGGCCAATAAAATAATTTCATTTTTTCTTAAAAGCTGTGCTACACCATTTTATCTCAAACATAGTGGGATGAAGGTAGTATTATGGAAGAACCAAATTTAACTTTAAAAAACAAACCATATTTAATGAAGTATCATACTCCATATGTTATTACGGAGTAGTTAATTAGTTATAACTTATTGTGAATGGTGTATTAGCATTGGCCGAAAAAAATTGAAGCATATTTATTCCAAGAACTTTGTCCTCACAAAAACCTATTTTCTCTCATGGCCATTTATTTCCAAGATCCCGGCATCTATATAAATGTTAAATATCCTCATATATTTCCCAACATCATTGGAGTTTCTCTCAAAAGAAAAAAAGGTTAAAAAACAAAAACAAAAACAAAGAATAAAATGGAGTCCAAAAAATTCATCGTTCTTCTTTTGGTGTCCTCTCTACTCATTTCCATGACAGAGTGTCAAGTATTTTCCGGTTCACCTTCATCAATGTCATTTTCTTCTATGTCGTCAGATTCACCTTCGGGATCTCCATCATCGTCTCCCTCATCCTCACCGGTGGCTTCAACCATGGAAGAAGGAGCTGCTGCCGCAACCTCAGCGTATCAGAAATTGAAAAACAAAATAACATCCTGATTTTTTCCAAAAGAAACTCGGTAATAATGTTTTTAAAATTTTTGTTTTGTTGGGGGTGGAAGATTGAAAGACCATTTCTGCCATTTCGTTTTCTTTTAAAGCGTCTAAATATATTTAGCTAGAGTTTTGTAGGAATAAGAGCAATCATGCCCTTCTAATAATAATTACACTTAGTGGATGGTTGAGGTATGGAATCCAAGTCCTCTCTTCTGCACTAGGTGTAACTATTGTGATTTTATAGTTTGTGATTATTGTGAAAGGGGATGGCTACCTCCTGTTGTGTTAGCCGAGATATGGTCTTTTAGGTCATTATTATTGTGTTTGAGATATGTCTACTCTCCTTATAATATATTATTAATTGATCATCAATAATCAAATTTTGCGTTATTATTATTAAAAATTAAATTCTGATTTTTTTTATCATTTTATGATAAATAAAATTGAATATGATGATTCTACATCAATACTAACACACAAGATAAACTTAAAAGATTTTTTTGAAAGGAACTTGAAAGAAATTAGAAAGTTTATTATGAAGAAAATTGTAAGAGTGAGATTGGTTCGGTTCTTGAAAGGAAATTAGGAATCATTTGAAGAACCGTTAGTCCAATATTGATTCGATTCTAGAATTTTTTTTAAGAACCGATAAAAGAATCGATAATATCATATTGATGCAATTCTGGTGTATTGTCGATGATCAGATTACCGTTAAGAAATAAAAAAAATTCAATCATTACTTTGTTTTATCGTTAAATCGCCAACGCATAAAAATATAATATCAAACTAATAAATATCTAATTGTAAATTAAATAGGTAAACAAATTTAAATAAGCTAAAAAAATAAAAGAAAACAATTATTAAGAAGAAAAGCTTGATTGCATGTATACTCGTACCACATGTAGCAACGAGTGTAAAAGTTTTGTTACACTTAGGACATGTTTACTTCACTGGTTACTAAACGATGCTTATTAAGACTCGCGTTAATAAGCGGCGCATAAAATAAGCAGTGTTGTAAGCTCATGTTTACTTCATATGTTTTAAAACACCGTGTAACATTAAAATGTCCAAAATAACTCTATACATATATAGACACAAGTGTATAATATAATATGTGGGAGTCACTTCGTACGCTTACCCATACCCCCTAACCCCGGTACCCCCACCCTACACCCAACCCCCCAATTTCACACCATTGACCCCTACCCCTTCCCTACCCCTATCCTTACCACGACCTTACCCTCTACCCCTACTCCCACCCATACCCCTAACCCTCCTACTCATAGTGGTGGGGTCGAGGTCGAGTCGAGCCGTCGAGGTAGGGGCAGGTGATATGGGGTAAAGGGGTAGGGTCAAGATATGGGGGTAGGGTTGGGGTATGGTCGGGGTAGGTGGTAAGGGCTTGTGGGGTAGGGGGGTAGGGGTGGGGTTGAGGTAGGGGCAGGTAGTAGGGGGTAAAAGACTAGGGGTGGGTGGGGGTGGGGTAGGGTAGGGGTAAGGTAGGATGGGTAAGTAGGCAAGGGTGGGTCGAGGTTGGGGGTTGGAGTCGGGTGTGGTCAGGGTGGGGTCGGGGTAAGGTTTAGGGTAGGGCATGGGGCGTAATGGGTAGCAATAGGGTAAGGGCAAGGGGTAAAGGTAAGGTAAATTCGAAAAGTGAAAAAGCTTAAAGCGTCGCTTAATTAATACATGGGGGTAGTATGCTTAGTAAGCGACACTTTAAGCACCTCTTTCGATTAGCAAACAACTTTTTAAGCAGCTTGGGAGTTTACTTCACCTGTCTTACTAACTTAACTGTGACTTTACCAGCGAAGTAAACACATCCTTAGTATTATTTCTCATTCAGTTGTGTAGTATAACAATTGATTATAAAAAGACCGAGCTTGTTGATCATTCTCTCAATTTTGAGTTTCCTAATTAATAAAAATAAATTTGGACGTTTATGCCACATGTATTACTCTAGAACTCCGCATTGCTAGATGAATTATACTCCCTCCGGTTCTTTTTAAACTTCAGTGTTTGACTTCACAGTTATTAAGGAAATAAAGTTGACTTTACTGTAGAGTACACTGTTGAGACACTGTTTGACACTGTTTGGCACTGTTGAGACACTGTTTGACACTGTTTAGCACTGTTTAACACTGTTTTGATGTAGATTTCTTTGCCAAATAAGGAAATAAGGAAGTGTGAAGTTTATTTTGGACCGTCCCAAAAAGGAAAGTGTGAAGTTTATTTAGAACCGGAGGGAGTATTTATTTCAGTTATTTATTTAATTGTTCGTATAATATTATATAGAGGAAACTTCTCATTGTAGGAGTAAAACATTGCATTCTTCCCAAAATAGGACCATATGTTTGATTTTTTACATAAATGAGAT